TGAAGCCCATGTGTGGAGCTTCTGTTGAAATGGGAATGAGCATGACTGACAATTGAGTCTGTCTTCACAAGGCAACTTCAGCTATAGGTCCCGGTGGGCAACTGTAATCCCAGCTCTCTGCCACACCACTGGTGGGGGCAGCTCCTAGCCTAGCCTTTCCAAGTTGCCCTCTTGGCCACACCTAACTTCACCCTACCTTCCCTAAACCTTTTCTCCTCACTACTGGATGGCATTAAGCTTGGCACACAGCGTGCCTTAAACACTACAAAGTGCAAGCCTTCTGATGCAAGCTGAAACAAAGACACTGAAACTTGGAGTGGATATAACCTAGCACGAAACGAGCAAATGTCTATGTCTGCGTGAGCTCCTGCTGCAATCTGTCACCGGGCAAGCGCTGGAACAGATGTCCATCCTGACACATCCCTGGGGGTGGCAATCCTGGGCAGGTCTCATGGAAGGTCTCTGTAGGTTCTTCCTTCCACTCCCAAGACAACAGCGGGACACCAATAGGCCGTTATGGGTCAAGAGCGTTCAGGGGCTGCTGGTGATGGGGCATAAGTCTGAGGAACCCTATCAGGAAGAGTGGCTACTGTGGAGGATGCTGGGAGGAGAGAGGCTATAAGTATTTTTAGGAATATCAAATAATATGGAAGAAATGTGTCTACTTGACAAGAGTGCCAAAAGCTTTCTTCTAAATTTAGCCAAAGTGTTCCTTTATTTGAGAGCCAGGTGGGAAAGGCTTAACAGAGACGGCTCCTTGTTCTCAAATGAGCTATGACCCTAGAGACAGCTCTGGGCGCTAGGCCGAAGCCGCCAGGGCCTCAACATCACCCCTCAAAGAGATTCCCGGCCCTGTAAGTTTATCTTTTGACTCTACCATATGTAGCCAAGCCTGTGGTTTTGGTAAAGTCTATGTATTTTTCTTGAACTTAATGTATTTTGAAATGGGTAATGATCACCCACATAGCCCCCATGGGAGAATCTGACTACACGTTAGTGGGATGCCCCCTGAAACACAAATCTGAAGAAACAAAGCTCAAACTGTGGCAGCCAACAAGAGCTGGGTTTTCCCCAGTCCATGGGTTTTCTTGTTTTAGCTTCTTGGCCACCTGAGCAGTGTCAGGTGTGGGTTCCAGCTTGTGGAGTAGGTCCTAACTCCAATTAGAGAGTGATAAACTCAGTGGCGGTTCTGTAGATTTTTTTTTTTGTCTCATATTGCTTTGTTAGGGTTCTATCTTACTGGCCTTTTGCATGTATGTTGTGCTTTCTCTTTCTTCCTTCCTTCCTTTCATTCTTTCTCTCTCTCTTTCTCTCTGTCTTTTCCTTTTCAAGACAGGGTTTCTCTGTGTAGCCTTGGCTGTTCTGGAACTCCCTCTGTAGACCAGGTGGCCTTGAACTCACAGAGATCAACCTGCCTCTGCCTCCGGAGTGCTGCAGTTAAAGGCGTGTGCCACCAACACCTGGCTTTGTATATTGTGGTTTCTCACGTTGTGTTTTTGTGGAGTGTGTGTGTGTGTGTGTGTGTGTGCATGTGTGTATGTTTCCTGTTCTTTTCCAGTTTTTTATTAAAAAAATAAAACCTCTGGTTCGTTTGCTTTTTTAATTTGCCTGTTTATTTTCTAAAAAGAGAGAGAGGAGGAAGCCGTGGAGTTGGATAGGTGGCAGTGAGGAAAGGTTCTGAGAAGAGACGTGATGGGGAGGAGAACCACTATCAGAATATACCATATGAGTTTTCAATTAAAAAAAAAGACAAAAAAAACCCAGCTAGCCTTGACAAGGCTCAGCTTGGACAGTGTGTGCCCTGAGCCCAGCTGGAGTCTGTCCTAGCGTGCAGGGCATCTGTGGGGGCACAACATTTGCCATAGTTTCACATTTCAACAGGTCTGTGAAACAGCCCAGTATCTGAAGTATGTAAAGGGTGGGAACTGCAATTTGGAAGAATTACTCATTTTGACTTTGGTCCATCACCTCCATTGCCTTTGGCATTAAAATATTTTGACGTTTTAATCCATTATTATAAATTTATGCTATTTGAAGAATCTCTGAAATGTTTAATTAAGAGCAAAAATAGTTCTTCAAGATAGAACACACGAGGGATCAGGAACGGTGCCTCACACAGGCAGGGTTTAATTATAGCCCCTTCGGAGGCACCAGATGGGGCTGAGGAGTTTCCAGTGTCTCTAGATTCACTTCCTGTGTGTGACCTAGGAGAGATCAAAGCAAAGGAAGGTCTTGTTCTGCCAGGACACACTGGGGCCTCTTGTGTCCCCATCAGTCTCCATAACTGGGGAGAGCTCAGAATGCAGACTCCCAGAGATCTCTGCCCACAGAAGACTTGAGTGAGTGTCTGGTCCATGCCTCCCCCAGGGACCTGCACAGGGGGCTAGGAAGACAGTGCTGACAGGTTTAGGACACAGCTCAGCACCTGCACACCTGGCTGCGTTGAGATATGAAGCAAAGCCCATTCGCCGCAGGCTCACAGGGCAGACAGTCCCACCTAGATGTCGGAATCCTCCCAACTCTCCACCCTCACAGAAGCCTGGAGATGCACGGCTGTTTGACCTGCCCACCCGGCCCCTAAGCAGGTGATGGGACTGTGTTCACCAGCTTCACGAGGATGGAGTCAAAGCCCCCTTCTCCACAACCATCATCCCTGGTCTGGATCAGAACTCGGGACACTCAGGACAGAACCAGCACTTGAGGTGAGAGGAGGCCTCACTCCCAGAAGGCCACAGTGCAGCTTCTTAGAGACAACCCACCAAACTGCTTCAGAGCAGCTTGGGACTATCTCAGGAGCCCTAAATGCATTCGTGTCTTCTGTAAAAGACATGTTTCAGATCTTACTCCGCATGTTTGAGTTCTCAGATGGGTTTTTTGCCCATCTCCTTATCCAGACGAGAAAGGGGCTCCTAGTAATACAGAACTCAGGGGTACAGGCCAGGCCACTCAGCTTTGGCTTTTGTGCTCCCTACCAAAGCCTCTTGTGGGATTGGGGTGTGGGAGGCATATTTCTGGGATCCAACTTATAAAAGGGTGAAACACGAAACGCCATTTGGCAGCAAGGTGGCCTCAAGGATGTTGCCACTAGCAAAAGGAGCAGAAACAGCCATTTCAGGGAGTTGGTAAATGGGGAGGAAGCAGGGAAGTCTGAGGATTTGGGCCTCTCGTCACATGAAGGATGCAGGTGACCTAGGTGACGACGCATCTGTTTTGGTAGTCTGTCTGCACCTGCACGTCAACTGCATCCAAAGCAGCTAACATTGTTCTGCCTTCTCTGGGCTCATGAGCCTGACTCAGGTTAGCGAACCCCCACTTGAGGTTGGTCTCCAGGATATGTGGGTGGGGTTCGGTGACACGAAATTCAGAACACTCTGTAATCACCGAGTCCGGATCACACGATTGTCCTGTGTGCTCGGCACCATGTCTTAGTTCTAGCGCACGTGCAGGGGATGGGGTGGGGTACCACCCACAGCTTCTTCAGTAATCATAGCCACAGAGAACATGGGATGCCCTTGTCACAGAGAAGCTAAAGGCAGTGATTACAATAGAATAGGTAGGCAGCGCCACGGTGTCACTGTCCAGAGAAGAAACCCGCTTTCTTAGGGAGTGGCACCAAGGCATGCAGCACAACAGAATCAGGTCAGCAGCCGTGTGCAGCATGGGGGACACGGATTTCCTCTGCCCATATCTGACCAGGGGTTTGTGCATAGGCTTCTGGGTGGGTGGGATAACGGGTCAGAAATGAGCTGGCGTCTGTTCAAATGAGAGGAACCCCGGCCCCCAACACTCTGCTGGTTCTTTCGTCAGCTTTGTTTCACTATGCAGGGTGCAATGTGGAACCCCCTCCCTGGCGTTCTGAGTGCGCTAAATGGCCGGCGTCCCAGCCAGCATGCCACCTCAGAGCCGAGACTTCCAATAACACAGCTGAAGAGGGTAGGAGTCCGGTGGTCCCCTGTCTAGTGGAAACGCTACTAACTATGGCTGGTGTGTAGGGATGCTGCCTTCCCTCCACCAGTGCAGCGTTCACAAAGACATGGCATTTCCTTTCCTTGACTCTCACAGTCTGCTGGTTTTAAATTATAAATCTTAATGAAACAATTACTCTGGGGAAAGGAGCAAGTGGGCCAACTATCCGAAGCCTCACTGCTCACATGGATGGTGGGAGCGCATTCGTGACAGGCATCAGGGACCGTGCTGAGTCTCTATAGCCCCCCTCTATATTCAGTACCTTACTGAGCAGTCAGCATGTCTGTACATACCTGACTGTGGGTTTGCAAGGAGCTGAAGTCCTCCTAGCAGTGAGAAAATGACCCAGGCTAAGGAGGAGACAATGATAAACACACGATGGACAGCGTTGCAGAGATGCCCTAGGCTGCCAGAGTTGAGATGGAGCCAGACAGAGGCTCAGGCCTGAGTGTGGGTACACTCTCATCAACAACAATTACATTCTTACAGAAGATCTAGCCGTGAATGTGGTTCTCTTCATCTCAGAAACAGTTGGGTGAGTGCTGTAAGCTATGACTGGAGAGACTCTCAGTGCTTGGCATACATGACCTGAAATGAGACACCAGCAGCTGCAGACAGACACAGCCTCTGAGCTTATGAAGATGTCTGGCACTGTACTTCTATCTATGAGGTCAGAGTAAGCACTATTGAACCAGCTTCCCAGGAGCCCAGATGGTGGCAAAACTGTAAATGGGATGAAGAGATGCAGATAGCAAGGAGGATGTATTGCTCAGGAGGCCGCAGAAGAGCTCATCTGTGGCAGGTATGGCTCACTTACATGAGCCTTTACCATCCAGACATGCTGACAGGTAAGGAAAGAGACCTTCCTGGGCCTCCAAAATCATGCAGAGCCAGCAAATCCCAAAGGCCACACTGTATCAGAAGCCAAGAGGGAGAGAGAAGCTGCATTACTATAGAAGGAAGGAGGCCTGTGGAGGACATTGTCTGTTTGCAGTGTCAGCGAGTGGAGCTTGTGTGGCCGGCCGGGCACCTACCTTACTCTCATCCTCAGGATCGTTGTAGCCACATGCATCTATGAAATCTGGAAATGTCTCCGACCACCCATCACTAGTGCAGTTTTTGCTTATGTTTCCTGGAAAGTAAATTTCAGATGTTTGGTCCTTGCAAAGCAGCCTCATGATGAAGGGTGATGGGACAGGATGAAGGTGAAGCCCTAATCAGCCAGTGACTGAGACCACCCAGAAGTCCTTCCTCAGTTGCCCTGCATAGCTTCCTCCCTGAGACGTGCCTGCTAGGGCCCCCGAGGAGACAAAGTGGACACAGTGTATCGCAAAACAGTAAAGCCAAAAGCGAGCACTAACTACAATTGTATCACAATAATTATAATCAGCACAGAACTTTTTCTGGAGCTTAACCTAAGGCCCTTAGCAGATTCTGACTTCCGATTCTATTAGAGTGGTGGTGGCCAGGCCCAGGTGCGGTGGAGCTAGCTAGCTCTCTTCTTTAGCTTTCAATCCTTGCGTCCCTTTCCATTTGGCCTGCCCATCCCCTCACCCTTCAATGCCTAAGAAGCAGTGTGGGGTGGTTTTCACTTGGCTATCAGTTGGAGGAAAATATGTGATTAAGGTTTAAATAGCAAGAAAGAGCAATTTTGTTCCTAAATATTCTCAGATTTATGGTAAATTCAGCAACGAAGCATTCACTCTATTTACAAAGAATGCGGCAGGTGACCACTGAAAACAGAAAGAGTTCTGGACAGACCTGGTGGGAAAGGGACAGACAAGGACAACAATGATTTGAACTGACCAGGCCAGATTCTTATTTCAGGCCCCCAGGGTAGGACACATGTCCTCCTCCTCTGTGGAGCTCTTGTCCCTTGCCCAGGCCACTCACAGGACCCACAGGGTCTAGGACATTTCAGTTTAACAAGGATGTTCCTTCACATACCTCTTTATTTTCAGAGAGGACTTGTGAGGCAGGTGTGGTTAACATTGCTGTTCCCATTGTACAGATGGGAGACTAAGGTCCTGGATGATGATTGAGCATGAGCAGGAAATGGGGTTTCTGGCTCCAGGACCCTGCAGTTTTTTCTACATGGTGGTGTCACCCATGCACCGTACTGAGCAGTCGGCAGCCAGTGAGAGCTCATCCCTTATCTAACAATGTGTGCTAGCGGCTCCTTCCAGGCTGGTGAGAGAGGTGCTGGGGGCAGACTCAATTCCACAGTCTCTGGAGGACTCTAGGTCCCAGTCCCCTATCACCTTCCATGGGGTCCCTACTGGTATCCTTCCTACGGACTCTGACTCAGGCCATACCTGACCCACCGATATTCAGGGTAGACTGTCTTTTGTCCCTCATGGCCAAGCCCCTCAGGGAGACGCTGATGTCTGGACTGGGTGAGGGCTTGTAGAGGACAGAATCTTGTGAGTGGCTGATCTCCACTAACCTGATCGTGAATAGCCGAGGAGGTAGGTTAGAGACACAGATTCCCAGAAGGAGAGCAAGTCTCTCCTCTCACTGCCTTTCTCCATTTCAGTCTGTGCTTACTACTCTAAACTTTAACATTATCATTCCTTAAAGGTTTTTTTTTCTGCCTCTTAGTATCTGATCAGGTGAAACAAAATTTCCAGTTTTCCAAAACACTGCAATTTACTTTTTTTTCTAGTTGTGTATTCTAATCTGTGTTTTTTTTTCTAGACAGATTCCTCCATGTTGTAAAAACCTGGATCCTGAGCCACTGATGAAAATGACACAATGAAAACCTGGACCTTGAGACATGTGTAAAGAACAATATAACACAGAGGGGCTGGGGTGGCTCCAAATTCTCTGAACCCCAGTAAACAGCAATCTGCTCAGCAGGAACATATGCTGTGCAGTGGCCCAAATTTGCTTTCTACCCCTACAACCTTGTGGGAATCTCTCTCAGGCTAACAGTAACCCCCCTCCCCTAATCTCCTTTATCGTGCATGCACAGTTCCCTGCTTTGACTCCTGAGAGTTTGTCACCCAGCCTTTTCCACCACATCTGCCCTGCTTGCCCATTGAGGCTGCAGTGGGTGAGCTACTCCTGCTTCCTTAAAAGAGAACTCACTCGGCATGGGCCAGACATTCTCCGGCTCCCTTAGGACCAGGGAACACAAAGCTACCAACAAAGCAAGACCCAGCTTTGTGTTACCATAATGGAAAACCTGACCCTCAGACACAAACATCTCTGAGCCCAGGAAGCAATGCAAACGCCATACCTGGTCTGCTGTAGAAGTTGCTGAACACCTTGGGGCAGGGCACTGTGACAGTTTCTCCAATGTCTGCAGGGCGCCAGCAGGTGATGTTGTCCCAGACACCACTGCAGCCTGGAATGAGATGCAAAGGATTGGATGCAGATCACGGACCCTGAGAACACACTGCTTAGAAGGAAGGCAGGAGAATGAATGACTCTATGTAAACATTCTGCAAGAAGAAAACTTCCTGTATAGCTGCCAAAGCCATTCTCCATGAGACACGCACATGACACCCTTGAGACAGGAGTATCTTGTGTGTTCATTTTAATACCGCCAAAGAAAGCCACTGGCCTGTGGTAGAAAGCAGATGAATAATTCGGTGTGTACTGTGTAGGTTTGTTTATTTTTTTAAACTGATGACTAATAACTGTATATGCTTATGGGGTAGATGAGAGATGTTTTGATACAATGTGTATTTTGAAGGATGGATAGATTAGTGTACCTACTGTCTCATGTCGTTTCTTTGTGGCAAGAACATTGAAAATTAGTCCTCTTATCATTCTGGTTTAAATTAACTATAGTCACCCCTATATGCAACAGATCACTGGAACATGCTTTTATCGTCCAGCTGAAACTTCGTGCCATCCAAACAGCACCCAAAGCTGGCCTTTGGTAACACCATTCTTCATTTGCCCCACGAGACAGACTTGGATTCCATGCAAGTGAGTTGTGTGGTGCTTGTCCTTCTGTGTCTTGCTTATTCTCCCATGCATTAAGTCCTCTGGACCCATCTTATTGTGCAAATGACACATGTTTCCCCCTTTACAATGGTGAATAAAGATGTCATTGTATTTCTTTTTTCTTTTTTTGCTTTTTCGAGACAGGGTTTCTCTGTGGCTTTGGAGACTATCCAAGAACTCACTCTGGAGACCAGGCTGGCCTTGAACTCATAGAGATCCTCCTGCCTCTGCCTCCCGAGTGCTGGGATTAAAGGCGTGCACCACCAACACCAGCTTTCCATTGTATTTCTATACCACATTTTTTTTTTTTAACAAAAGAGACTGGTTACATTTTTTTTCTTGTTGCTTCATACCTTCAACATGGTACACTGGGCTCCTCATGGCATTATGTCTGTGGAGACCTAGGTCTGGGACTACTCCAGGGTAGAGCCAATGGTCTAGTGAGCTGAGCCTTGTAAGAGCAGGGGTCATCGTTCACACACCTTAAGTATTTTCAGTTACTTAAGATATGTAGTGATAGTCTTCTTTGGGTTTGAGCTGGCTGTTGGGTTTGGTGGAGCTGATTCCTCCTGTGTCATCTTCCTGGACATCCACTCGGGAGTTCTACTGTCCCCACGGTTGAGGGGGCCTACAGAGCTGGGGGTGCTAAGTCTCTAGGTCTCCTGTCATTCTCTTAGCTCCCTTTACATCTTTCCAAAGGGATTTTTAAAAAATCACTTTTATAGAGGCTTGTACTTCAGCTTCACTCCCTTCTGCCTATTTTCCTGCTCAGCGAGGTTAGGGGCAGGTTCTGCAAACTCAGCAGGTTACTGTGGGCTCTGTCCATGACAACCTGGAGCTTGTACACACACACACACACACACACACACACACACACACACACAAGCTGGGCTGTGAGCATGGCCTGATGTGCCTGGGCATTATTCCCCTTAGAGTAGATGGCTCTGGAAGGGCTGGGCTCACTAGCATGCAGGAACCCCAGGGAGTTACGTGAGAGCTGTATGGCTGAGAGAGGTTCCTTGGTCCTTTCGTCCTTGGTGTGTCCGCTGTGTGCAGCCAAGAATGACACTAGCCAATGTGAGCAGTGCCACCGGTAGGACAGCAACACTGAGGGACATCTTCCATTCCACATTCTAAAAAATACCCTAAGTTTAAAAATCACAGAAGCAGAACTTCTTGCAGAAATGAGGCAGGGCAGGCTGGCCTAGACAGTGCTTATGGCAAATTCAAGCTGCACAGCCTTCCCAGTGTCTTATCATCCCACAACTAATGCCGGGGCTGAGGAGTGAATGCTCCCATTCCAACATTGTCCAAAGACCTTCTGACCAGTGACTGGCATGGGATATTTAAACACCTTCCATTCCTGTGCCCTGAGTCTTCAGGGCCCCACAAAGCTGTCCACACAAGCAGCCAGATGCGCCCCCCCCCCACTGAAGATGATGTCTAAAGGATTCTCTACTGCTTAGCATCAACAGAAACACCCCTGGATGTCGTTTTCCTGCCTTGAGGAGGCTAATGTGAAGCCTAGCAGCTGGCTAGGAATGATGCTGATGTAGCAGACAGAGGGCCCCCACACACGTTACTTCAGCGTTCCTGTTGCGAGTGCAGGGGTGCTTTAAAGTGAGGGGATGAGAAGGGTGCAGAAGAGAGGAAGTAAGAAGTCACTGCAACTCACTAATAGGAAGAAACGTGGTGAGGGTTTCAGCTGTGACAGCTCAGCTCAACTGGCTCTTGATGGAGACACAAGATAAGGTCAGGTTTGTTTTTTTTTTATTATAGAAAGTGTTTTCTTTTTATTTTCTTGCCTCAGGAGGGACCAGACAAAGTACTTCTTGTACCCTGGCCATCCCTTGCTCAGAATTTTCTCTGGCCAGAACAGTCATCTGGCAGGACACAGAATCAGAGTTCCTCTTGGAGTCTATGGATGTGCCAGGCTTCCTAGGGCATGATCCAAGGAGGACAGCCAGGAGCAGAGAAGGTCCTCTGAGAGGACCCCATAAGTCCTATTCGGGTATACCTGTTCTATGGTTCACCTTCCTGGAGCTCAACTGTGTGTCACATACTGATTTAGGGCTCCTCTGTGCAGAGTTCACCTATGCAGAGTGATCCAGTTTGAGGCACACCTGCCTAGGACACACCTTCCCAGGATGACACCTGCTCAGGACACACCTGCCCAGGACACACCTGCCCAGGATGACACCTGCCCAGGACACACATGCTCAGCATGACACCAGTCCAGGACACACCTGCCCAGGACACACCTGCCCAGGATGACACCTGCCCAGGACACACATGCTCAGCATGACACCAGTCCAGGACACACCTGCCCAGGACACACCTGCCCAGGATGACACCTGCCCAGGACACACATGCTCAGCATGACACCAGTCCAGGACACACCTGCCCAGGACACACCTGCCCAGGATGACACCTGCCCAGGACACACATGCTCAGCATGACACCAGTCCAGGACACATCTGCCCAGGACACACCTGCTCAGGACACACCTGCTCAGGACACACCTGCCCAGGATGACACCTGCTCAGGACACACCTGCTCCGGACACACCTGCCCAGGATGACACCTGCCCAGGACACACCTTCTCAGGACACACCTGCCCAGGACACACCTGCCCAGGACACACCTGCTCAGGACACACCTGCTCAGGACACACCTGCCCACGACACACCTGCCCAGGATGACACCAGCCCAGGACACACCTGCCCAAGATGCACCTGCCCAGGACACACCTGCTAATCTTCTTGGTAGCTCACTTGTGCAGGGTGTTTACTGGGGGAGAGAGGGTCTCGTGCAGGCACACCTGTCCAACGTTCACATGTGTTAGGAATATCTGCAAAGGACACCTTCCTGGAGCTCACATGTGCAGGATGTGCTTGTGCAGCTCTTGGTCTTTTCTCTGGTAAAGTCCCTGTTGAACAAGGAGGTCCTTGAGATTCCCCTAAGGGCTACAATTTTAAAGCAGCAGAGTTTTGGAAAAACTAATCAACATTTTTGCCATCAGACGTGCCAGTCCTCTATGCCTGTCATCCACTTAAGAGACACAGAGCTGGATGGAATTGGAAATTGAATTGGGAAAGATAATTTTTACAAGTGTTTTTACCTCCTCTGAACTATGCCAATCTATTCTGACCTGAATTGCCTCAGACTTCCTGACTGTTGGCCTCACAAAGATACTACCTTGTCTTGATAAGGGAGGGTGTTGGCTTCTCTGTGTTGTGCTCATGAAACAGTGATACTCAGTGGTCTTCTGAAGGGTCAGGATGGCTTCTTCCGCACTCAACTGCTAGGCCCAAAGACCGTAGGGAAGGCTGCTGCTCACAGTCTAGAGGCCATATTCTAACTGTGTAGAATATTTACCTACAGCCAGCCACAGAGTAAGAGTGAAAGTAAGATATACAGAAGTAAGAAAAGGAAAAAGCCCAGAAAACAAAAGGTATATGGGATAATTTAAGAAAAGCTGGCTAGAAACAAGCCAAGCTAAAGCCGGGCATTGATACGTTTTGTTTTGTTTTTGTTTTTGTTTTTGTTTTTTGTTTTGTTTTGTTTTTAAGCCTCCTTATGTGTTTACTTGGGAGCTGGGTAGTGGGTCCCCCAAAGAGTAAAGAGTAAAAAGAGTAAACCAACAACAGCTACCTGAAAACTATACAGGGAATTCCTGTGTTGCCGCCTCGGTCATGCTCCCATAATTAATCCTAATAAACTTAATGGTTCATCCAAGCTAGATTGCAGTGGAATAGCTTTTGGTGCCCTATGCATCAGGGTGGATATGCGTGTTCATCTCCCCTAGCAAAGGTCACAAGAGTCATACAAGACAGTTTGCAGGCAAGGCTTTCTGTCTTAGTGCTCACTGTACAGAAAGCCCCAGAGCAATAAATGAATAGAAACGTGCACAGGAAGCAGGATGTGGACCACCTGGGTCCAGGTTTCACAGCTCCCAGGAATGTGAATTGATGTGCTGGCTTTCTTGCCTGTGGAGGCCTGTGGATGCTGGTTGCTCCAATGGCTACCCAATAATCCTTGCTATCTTGAGTGCTCTAGGGTCCCAGTTAGACACTCTGAGGGTAGAGCGTGCTTATCGGAGTTCTGCAAGCGAGAAGCTCCATCCTTTCCTTTTGTTCTAAGGGCTCTTCGTTTGTTCTTAAAATATTGCCAGTGAGGTCAGACCTCCTTCCGTGCATTAGCTCATCTAGGTATGTTGCCAAATGCCATTTTAGGAAAGCCGCAATTAAGAATAATGACAGTAACTGAACTGGGAGAAGCAGAGCAAAGAAACCCTTTGAGGGAAATACCCAAAGCGATAGCCTGTCAAGGCTAATGAATGGAGCACTCTTCGGAAAGCATGAAGCTTCTCTCAGGAGACAGCTAACGTGG